TCAAGTCTGCTTTACACCTGTATTACATTTCTCCCTCAATCAGCATTTTTTCTGAGACGGCGGCCTCCCACGAGGAGCAGAAACCATTACAAGGCACTGCAGCTCATTTGCAGAAAGATTGGAGATCACGCTGCCTCGAAAAGTATGTGAAACATTTCTGGGAGCAAAATTGATTTATTCCATTTCTGTGTTTGTATGCAGCATCTGTATCAGTGTATTTAATGTAAATCCCCCAATCTAGCACCGAGTTGCTGTGCAGGTCGCTGCTTATTGTGCAAGTAAGAAGCAGGGTGATCATACAACACACGGGCACCTGTTCTGCTGTAAGATAAAGGTGCACGCGGTATGTCTTTACACAGTATATGATTTTGTCTGGGAGTAAATGATAAAAGCACATACGCGATGTAGCAGATTATATCAATCAAACAAAAAGCATTCATTCATCGTTTCCTTTTTCCAATCCACTGATGCTGCTTGTTTAAGCTACAAAGACATTACGCTATTCCTTAGCGAGATAAAAACGCATAAACAAATAAATAAATATTTCTGAGTATTTCAATTTTGACTTAGGAAAAACAGATCAAGCAGAGCCTGTGGCTAGAGGAGCCTGACTGCATGCTGGTGGGGGGTAAAAGACAGCCTGGGGGGGGGTGTGGAGGGCGTCTGTTTTTTAATGAGCTGAAACTTTAAATACTGCATAATATATAATACTCCTAAAAATGGATAGTTCATTTCACTCTCCGGATAAGTCGCCGAAAAAACTATTAAAAACCATTTCTCTCTTAATGTCAACAGAGTAAGCATTAAGTATGAATGAAGTGAATGTCATACCGCTGTCATCGACAAGAAAGAAAACGCAAAAATAATAATCAACTTGAACTGGAAGAAACAAGAGGTTCGGGCACGAAGATAAGTGCACGAGCTTAAGGGCATCAGCTAAACACAGTGCACGCAAAGACAATGATGTATTCAACTATAACTAGAAATTCAGATTCACTCTATGAAGACAAAGCATCGCCGTTTTTTCTTTTTTTATTGTGTTTAAAATGTGAAGTGCAATTGATCTTGATGAAATTGTCTTATTTATTTATAAGTTGCAGCTTAGCCTTAATGTCAGCTGGAAGCAGAAAAAGAAAGAATAGATGACTGACGTTTCAGCCACCCACTGACAGTAGCTTTGGCAACACTGGCACAGCAGGCATACTCTTTCAGTGGCTCCTCTTCCTCCCCCCTACACACACACGCACACAAACACGCACACACAAACACACGCACACAAACACATGCACAGATACACAAGTGGGGGAAGTGAAGAAAAAAAAAAGAATTATGGTGCCCCTTGTCATCCCCTGGGTAAGAAAAACACCATAATAGATTTTTAATGGCTATCTGCTCACCGAAAGAAAAAGGAAAGGTTGTGTTTTGAATGTCAGTGACGGGAGGTCAGCAATTACAAAGTGCAGGTAACAAAATAAAGCAAACTTTTCCGTAGCATTTCTTTTTCAAAGTTGATCAAAGCGTGCGCATGTTTACAACATGAGATGTCTCCAGATGAAACGCAATGATTCTCACGTCACATTATAATTCAGAAAGTGCCGTTTGACAGTAAACACTGTGACAATGTTGTCTTGACTCGGCTGCATAAACATGTAACTCCAGCATGATCCTTAAAGTGATCTGAGTGATGGCTCAGGTACCCCGCTGTTCGTGGAGCAAGCATGGAGACGATGCTGGTGGCCGATCCAGAGGCTTAATAATGATAACCTCGCCAGTATTAGCTGCAGGGGTTGTTCACACAATAATTGTTTCTGCCAAGCCATATATCTATATGACAGAGGAAAAGCTGGTGTGACTCTCCTGCTAAATAACTGATTTACGGAGCGGCTGCGTCAACTATTTCAGAGATCGTTTGTTCTTTTTTTCCTTTTTCCTCTGAAGAAACTGTGAACTTATTAGCTAATTAGAAGATAATTACAAGTCTCTGCAAGTTGATTAGCAATTTCACTGCTGAACATTAACAACTTACAGAAAGACCGCACTCAATTTCAGCACTTGTTTTGCCTTACTTACCTAAATTCTAAATAGTATAAGTATTTAAAGATTTCACCTTGGCAAAACTTATTACCAGCTCCAGCGTGCAATTAAACTTGCCGAACAGGCATTAATTCTTTGTTCATTACCACATTAAATGCATGTAGGGTAATTTGACACTTCAATACAAGACTGCACGATTACAGCTATTAAAAGGCATCACTTTCGTACCAAAGGCAGGCGCATTTTGTTAATTTACACAAGTCCATCTGCAGTCCCAGCATCCTGCACCCACTGTGGTGGTGACTAAAGTTTGATATGTAATGCTAATCCTCAGCCCGAGCTGGAAGGGGTCGCTCCCCCGCAGTTTAGAGTGACTCAAAGGTGAAGCCCTGAAAACAAATACATCGTACTCAGATGCTCCGCAGTTTACATTTCACTGACGCACATCGGCCCGTATTAGCAGCGCACAAAGCTGCAGTCACTTCCAACCCCGTGCAATTGTGTCTGGCTGTACGGCAGTATCAATGCAGCTCGTGGGTCAAAGGGTCAATGAGTAATTAAGACATGGTTGCCTGAGCATTCCCCATGCACACTTTCAGTCCTGATGAAAGGTTGGCAATGAAAGGAGGGGGATTTAAGTGCAGCCTGATACGAAGGATCAGATTTCCATAAGTGTGTCTAAATGTTCCTTGTTCAAGGCAATTAGTATGATTAAAGAGATAGCGAGGGGTCATCACGCTGTTTAAGAGGATTTTGCACATGAATTCTGCATGAGGTTTTCAACAAAGCAAATGCTGCATTGCTTACAATAAAAACCTTTAAGCTTGTCGTATTTGTAAAGTGTTGCCGAGGCACCGTGTAAATTACTGTACATTTCAAGACAGATTCAGCAACAGAAATGATCATTTATTACTTTTTTTGTGACGTGGGTGTTAAAGTAAAAATGTGGTCAGGCGGCATGTAAATGTCTAGTTAAATCTTCTCGCATAAGATGATCATGAAGATGCAGAACATTTGTAACAACACGCAGGCAAGTAATCGTAGCCTTCAACTCCAGCGAAGGTCACAAGGTGCATTGATTCCCGTGTACGACAAGAAATTATTCCTAGAGTTTCATTGTTGCTAAAAATTGAAGAGGCCAAGGCCTGAAAATTGAGGTCGCTGATAAACGCTATTAGTAGGAGATGCTGAGAGGAGAAATCAATATGGCAGTTTGTCAACCTGCCTCTCAGAGGGAGGGGAACTCTGCAGCTGGGGTAAGTGTGCCCTGTCAGCAAAGCACATTACCAGAAATCAAAGGCCAGAGAAGGCCCGAAGGAAGGGATGTAGATGTCTCTCTACAAAGGCCACACTTTGGTAATTAAAACCTATTTTCTCAGACCTGTTGTGTCACTGGTTTTTCTCTAACACTATTGACTATCTGTTGAGTGGAGGCTGATCACTAATTTAACTTTAAATAAATGAGCTGTGGTCATTTAGATTCCTGTACCTGTCACACAAAATTAAGCAAAAGACATCAAATAAATTATGTCACTTCATATCACTTACATCAAGTCTTGAAGGAAACATCTGCCAAACTTAAGCTATGTTTTTTCAACAGGCGACATTGAGAAGCTTCTCGTTTCCAACGCGTGTAAGTACAAGTGCCATAAAAACCAAACATTATATCATCTCCTTTCTGCCATTCTCAATAATTTGATTCAAAAATGTCTCCTCTCCTTTCACAATAAAACCAAGATGAAAAACCTCCATCGCGCCATACTTCAGTCTATTCTTGAGGTATTCTTAAGCTTTCTGCTAAAGAATAATATAGTACAAGAACCGAACTTCAACTTTAAATATTTAATAGTATTTAAACACAACTGAATCTATGCAGTCCCAGAAGAGCATCTCAAGGGTCCAGGCCTACCCTGGAAACTCAGTGTCCCTTAAGTTGAATTCTATTGATACACTTACTCTTCAACCATAAGTTGAACTAGGTCATACAATTTGGTAAACACCTGTCTCTCACTGATAAGTTATAGCAGTGCAAACTCAGTATAATCATTTGTTCATGGCAGTTTAGTCTTTCTGCAGCATTTGTGGTACCCAGCGTGACTGAGGACGACACCGAACAGGTGAGCCTATGCAGGTCAGACTTTGGGAAGTACCCAAACCAGATAGTTTTAAAGCATGAGTCTACTTGGAAATGACAAAACAAATGGGAAAATGTTGAAGATCTTGTGTGCCCACAGTCAACTGTTCTAGACTGTGGTGAGATTGCTGATCCACTTCTGTAACTGATTGTCTCCTGTTTTGCTTCTGCAATCTTTGACAGATATTTTTGCACATTTATAAGTGCAGCTACATTTCTCTGTTAGTGTACCATGTTTGTCTGGTTATAATTGTGCATAGCTTTTTTTTCCTTGAGAAAAAAAAAGCAAACTTGAGCAGAATGACCCCATGTCAAAGTTGGTTGCTCGTCCAGTCAATATGACGTGCCACTCAGCTAGAGCACTACTGACATGACGGTAAAGGGGACCTGTTATGTTCACTTCCAGCTCCATGTTTTTATTCTTGGACTCTACTTAAGCAGCTTTGCTTGACTCATGCTTAAAAATAATCCATATCACAATCTGATTGCAAAGCTCCCTGACAGGACAGGATTTTGAAAAATTGATTTTAAAAAATCCATATTTTTCTTATGCTCTGCCTTGGGACACTTTTTTTACTATCTGAAATAAGCAATTTTCTCTCTGGTTCCCCTTCTGATTGGCTAATCAGTGGGTAGGGCTTCTTTGCTCACGCTCACAGGTATGTGCCTGACATCAAACTAAGCCAACAGTAGCAAAAATGTAACTGAGTGTTCAGAGCAGTCTGACTTTAAAGCATTCATTCACAGGGACTGCTTGAATGTAAGATGACCTCACTATTTAACTCTGTATAACAGGAGCGTCCATCATTAAAATAGCATACAGGACCAAAAGTAAAGAAATATAAAAAACACAAAGGCTCCTCTTTAATAGTTTCAAAAATACAGCAGCTTGGTAGATAATATCCTCCTGAAAACACATTCAAGTTACTTTGTTTCCTCTTCACTTCAGTACTGTGCACCTTCCTCCTCTTTGTAGGCAAAATAGACTGTGACAGGTCCGACACTCGTCTGTACTGTTTCTGATGCTCCCACCACCATCCAGCAGCCAATGCCATAGGCCAAACAAGGGATACCTGCAGTTTAAAGGGACACTGAATATATGGACTCTGTTGTATTGGAAATAAAATATAAGTATGTAACAATGACAGCAACGTGGAAGAAATACTGACCCAGATTAATAACTTTTAACATGGTGAAAAATCTGTCTTCAAAATCCAGATTCTGAGGAGGCGCTTTAGTGCAATGATATTTAATAAAGGGGAAACATCCCGTTCTCAGAATGTGGTAGTTGGATCCCTGAACTCTCCAATTAAAGTTTGACATTCCAAACTGGTCATTGTGGACGGAGCTGTAGCGGACACAGTATGAAGTCCACGGAGGAAGTCTGCGCTGCTGCAGGTGGCAGGTTAACACCTCCGAAGCAGCTGGCCGCGGACCTGTCCTGCCTAACGTGCTAGGAAACAGGGCGATCTTCAGAAAGAGGCTGTGGGTCTTCTTCAAAAACTCCTTCATGGTTTTAAAGATTCGTATTTTAGCATTCGGACTGCAGAAGGACACACCTATAACTAGCCACACTTGGAATATACCAACGCTTTAAGAGTGAAAATACCAAGTTGTAACACATCAAAGCAGCAGCTGACATGAGATATGCTAAAGCTCGCAAGCAAACGATTTGCGAGCTTAAATCCTCAGACCATGCCTGAGATGTTCCAACACTGACCTATACACCTGACGTGTCTCTGTAGAAATGCTGAATTCGCACACATGTATCTAAACCACCTGTGAGAAGAAGAGCAGCTTTCCTCTGGTTGGTTTTCTGTTTCTGTTGTGCTTCTTGCGTCTGACCTCGTACCGCGGCTTAACTCATCCGGCTGGAAACGCGTCTCTCCGAACCCGTTCCTCTTTAACAGAATTAACTTCAGTCTGGTATTTATTTATATCATGTACTCGCCGGTTCATTCAATACAGGACTTATATCCTTTATAAGAATTTATAGACTGCCACGTGTTCAACAACCCTGTAAAACGACTAAACGTAAAGTTTTTTTGTTCTTTATACTTCTACCGTTATTTACCACAAAAAAATAAGCATGAAAACGACAAATGTATGTTCTAGCTACCAAAAGACCTCTTCAAAATTAACCACCACTGACCCCAGTGCCAATAGGCTAATAAGTGTTTTGTTGGTTCCATGAACACACCACCTACTCCTTTAAAATCCACTTAAAACCACCACAGCAACTGCTGAAACATTTCCACGGTTCAGTGAACTGCTGTAGATCAGGACCATGGACAGCAGTCTATAAACTACGTGGTAATTAAACACCGCAAATAAGCCATAATATATACATATATACATATATACATATGCTATATTTAATACATGCGCTCATCATTTTTGTTTCTTTTATTATTTACTCATATTTTGAAAATGTTTTTAAAAACCTCTTTAAGAACAGGCATTTCAATTTATCTTTGGCTATAAATTTTGTTGTATGTGATGTGATTCTTGTTACATGTAATAAAATACAACCCCCCCCCCAAAAAAAAATAAAATAAAAAATAAAAAATAAAAAAATAAACATTTTTTTTTTTTTTTAAATTTGCGTTTTAGTTCATGTTATTTAAATATATCTTTGCCTGTCTTCCTTTTAGCATTTCAGTCGTTTGTGCAGCACTTACCTGCAGGAAAGGGGCCATATAATAAAGCTTGATTGATTCATTGATTGACCGTAATTTGTCAGGGTGATTGGTAATGCCTTAACAACTTCACAAACCAACCAAAATCCCATCTGCATGATTTATAAATGATTTGCTAAATAATTTAGGTCCAATTCTGTGTAAAATGCAAATAGATAATAATTAAGTGATGTGAAAATAAATTACAGATGTATTTGTCACAGATGTTTTCAGTGTCTTAAAATATTATTTCTGAAGTCAAATATATGTGAAAATAATGCACACATTCAAATGTAATTCTAGTCTCTGGATTTAAAGGTGTAACAGATCCACTGGGGTACTCAATCCTCCATAAGAATTAGTCCTGTGAAGTTTTTCCATTATCACATGTTGTCTTTTTTGCAATACAACTGTCTATTTGAACACAGGGGGGTAAAGCATGACTATGAGTGCTTTTTCCTGGAAATCTAAAATTTTATGTGCTTTAAAAAAATGTACATCAAGTAAGGCTCTTGGATAAAATTAACATATATAAATCCTTGATACAAATTACAAAATAAAAATTAAGTAAGATTTAAATGTTTTTTTGCAATCTCAAATCCATGAATACACGCATCGTCTCTACTTAGAAAGCTTAGAAAGTCAACATTCACAGTCCAGTGAGGACCAGACTGAAACACTGTCATGTCACCATATGAGGCGAGTTGTTTGAAATTGTCAGCTTCCAGATGAGGACTTTGACAATCAAACTAGTTTAGACTCTAATCTAATTTAATAAAAATCAACCACAGTAGTGCATGGCTCAATTTGTACAGAAGAAAGGTATTCTGGGAGATCCTAGTGTGTATTGTGACACCAAACGCAAATAGACTTCTGTAACAGAATATATATATATATATATATATATATATATATGCGTTTATATATATGCGTATATATATTTGCGTTTGGTGTCACAATACACGCTAGGATCTCTCAGAAGTGTGTGCATATACTTCTTTTTATGTACACACTTTTTGATTTACACATGCAAATTCCTTCTGCATAGATTTCTGGCGGTGTAATCTTTGTTTATAATAAAGTATATTCAGACTTTTGAAACTTTTCACAAAGCCAGTGATTTTACAGATTTGTGACATATTTAGGCTTTTGTTCAGGAATTTATTTGGAAAGTCCTTCAGTCATCTTCAGAGTAGACATATTTAGTTATATTTAGTGATTTTGGAAAAGCAAGTCAGCAACACTGATAATGGAACTATCTAAGATGCAGGTTTAGCCTCCCCTTGAAGCTTGTTCTGAGTCATCTGCAGTATATCTTCTATTTCCTTAATCACCTCCTTCAAGTAAAGCAGACAGAAAAGGAAGCAAACTTAGAGTATTACCTATTATTATTCCATAAAATCATCAACATTAACTTGAAAATATATTCTTATTAGGATATTTATGAGTAGTGATCATGCTTTCAGTTTCACTGATACACAAGTTTCATGACAAATAGATGAGGAGAGATCATTAACTCATTAACATGGTACCATGAAATTGGTTTCTCCTTGGCTTTTAGGGACTGATATTTCCTGATGAATGACTGACAGATGCCGAGCAAAGGTCGCGAGAGCTCTCTGGAGATCCTCTGAGACTGTTCTATTAACGACACCACAAACAAACGAGTTTACTAATGATCCCCAAGTCGCCAGCTAAGAAACAATCACCTTGTTCATCTGATAGTGGTGGTTAAATGAAACTTTCAGCAGACAACATCTTCGCTCTTTAGGGGGATGAGCACAGCTTGATTTAACTGTTACAGCATTGTGGAAGCGAAAGGATTTGTGTGATAAATATGTTAAATAACCCTCTGCTTAACAACTTTTAGAGTTTGTAGAATTACCAAAGCTAGAGGTGGCATCTTAATCCTCTGAAAGAATTGATTTTACTCTTAGCCATGTGAAGTCTTTCATCTAATCGCCTATTGTCTTCTTTGGAAAGTGATTGCCTTTTTGAACAGAGGATAGTAAAGCTCCATCTCCCGGGGATGAGCCTCAAATTTTATACACATATATGCAGCAAAAAACCAAAAATCTTATTCTCTTCCACATTGTGTTTGTCTATATTTCTGACTTAAAATAATAACAGATCAGCTTATGGTTTGTCTATAAATAAAGAAAGTTCATAACTCCTGTTTTCTTGTATGGATCTGGTGTAGTAAGACATACTTACATCATTCCAATACTGCTTCGCTTAGTGCTGTCAAAAAAAGCGAAAACCGTGCCTTGCTTTGTCTGAAACACAAGCAACAAAAAACAGAGAAAAATAAAGCTTCATCATTGTATAGCAAAGAGTACTAACTAAGAGTGCATTTCAACCCTGCTTTAAATCTAAGCTCTTTAAATTCACACCTTTTCTGTATGTTGCCCTCCCTCCATATGCTGTTGTACTCATTAAAACCTGAAAACAGACTCTGATGTGTAAAATCTGTGCAGTTTCCCTTTGTATTAACCATATAACAGGAACAGTGGAAATGATGATAGAAAAGCGTGCAGATCAACTCTGAATTGTTACCTTTTTGTTAAATCTTATGCCATGGGCCTTGCACATCATAAGGAACACCTTATTGTATAACATGGAAAGGTCAGAGTGAAATAAGTGGTTCCCAATGACTGCACAAAGATTTCCAACTGGAGCCTGGACAAAAAAAAAAAAATAGACAGAGAGAAAGAAAGAAAAAAGAAAACAGCAGAAGATGTGAGTGATGACTGTTTGTCAATTAATTCATTGAATCCAATAATTTAAAGTTTGATTATATTTGGCAGCCAAGTATGGTGGTGGTGTGTGAAATAGATAGAGCAGAAATGGCTAAACCCCAGACATGTCCTTAGGGTCACTGCTGAATTTGTGTGTGTGATTAGTGAACGTGATGAGTACGGGGCACATGTGGTAAACTGTTGGGCCTTTCTTAATTAACTGCAGGGAGGAACAATTAATGCTTAGAAGACATGCCAAACACAAGATGAGCTTAATTGTACGACACCAATCAAAGAAACTACAGGTTGGGGACTGCAGATTTTTTTTCATTCAATCTAAGATGAAAGCATTAGTGAATCCACAAAAGGAATACTCACTGCACACAGCATTCTGTATCACCGTAATAGAGGGATTCTGTTTGCATGTGTCATAAGTAACACCAGAGAGGTTGATTACTTAAAAGTGGCAGGGCTTAGGAGGATAAAAATGTTCCTGCTTCTCAGCCACCTTTGGGAGACTTAAAGAGTAGGCCTAAGCCCCCGCGAGCTCAGGAGATAGCCCATAACTTGCTGTGAAGGGTGTGCGTTTGCAGTTGTCAGATGCAGGGCCCTCACACAACAATAAAAGCGTCCAACTGGGATTTAATTGTGTTTGTAATATGCAGGGCCTTAATGATGGCCAGCACCGAAGCCATTAACCACTGCAGTGGCTCAACTGCTGTACTGAAGCACCAGGCCACCAACTAAATGAATGTTTGATAAAATAATACAAGTCGCAGATCAACAAGCGTAAACTCGGGCATACTGCTAATAAAAGAACTCTATTGTTTAAGGCCTGGCACCAGGTTGATGAGGTGTTCAAGCATGCATACACATGCATAATGAAAATGGTATGAATTATTAATGTGTTGATTATTTAGGCTCATCTATCAAAATGATAATGAATTCAGCACCTAAACACCAATTGAGCTCGGTGCATAATTACAGTATTTAGTTGTATTTAACAATAATGAAGAGCAAAACGTTGATCTATCTTTGTGATTACTGAAAGGCTACGAATAGCCTCCATAGTCTCAGGCTGCTTTTTTGTTGCAGAAACTACATGATGGCATCATTTGATTTAAGAAGAAAAAGAAAAAAGTGTGAATTTAAATTATAGCATCTAAACTCAATACACTGATAGGTGGGTAAAGACATAATTTAAACTGCAAATATAAGCAAATATAAGACGGTACTTTGGGCACGATCTGGTGTTCACAGCATTGCTCTCTGATTGGCATTGGCGCTTCTAAACAGCCTGTGCGGCAATTCAGCGTTCCTCCAGTCATCATCAGAAGCATCTGGGTCATGGCCAGCTGGTTACTGTATGTGATGTCCAGATCAACAGCCCACACCTGCAAACAAGACGTCGTGAACTCTGTGTCACGGAGAGAAGACAAAACTCTATAGACTTAATAATTTCAATTTAATCACAAAAAAAATGGAACATCGAAGTATTTCACCCCCCCCGACCTTACAAAGCGAAGAGTTAGCACCTCTTAATCCTTACAGTGTTACTCATGTTAAGAGGCAAACATAAGGAAAACACAGGCATGGTGAGTGTTTGACTGATTTAGGTAATTCAGTTTTGACATGTGCACAAAGTAGATCCTTCCCTGTGTATTTGAATTCGGGCAGCCCTGGGCATGTTTGGCTCAGGTCTGATGAGAAGTAAAGTTCAGTTATGTATGGTAAATGGCATCATTATAAGTATATTAAGGGGTCAGGTATGGTCGTAGCCCTCCGCTTAAACAGGGCTAATTTTCCCAATAATAACCTAATAGCTCTGCCCTTTCTTCAAAAGTGACAAATAAATCACCAGTGAAGGAGTTGTTAATAACTAAGTGGCAGTTGGCTGCCTCCTTTAGCCGTTCCTATTTGTCAAAGTAAACGCTCCTGCCACCGAATGCAAATTGCTGCCTGTCTGAACCCGCAGTCTCGGTAACCCGAGTACTTTATCTCCACCAGCACATGGACATCTGACCATACGCAGTAATTATCTTAAATACTTCACTGTGTTTTATATAAAATTTGAATATATTGTAAAGCATATCGCACAGTCTGCTTCTATAACAATTGTTTTTGGGACCGATTAGTGCGACAGCGTGTAAAAAACTATTTCGGAGAAATACCTGAAAATGTGAGATGTTTGGAAAACTGGAAAATGTGTGACATGTTTATCTGAAAAATTTGTTCTTAAAACGTTATAGAGACAAAAATAGCTTTTTCCTGATTTGGCATAATCTGATTTATAGGGCAGAAGTTACGCAGTTTTGGTTAGTAACCTTTTCTTCCCAATAAGAAAATGCCCAAACTTATGATTTATAAACTGCAGAAACAAGTATGAAAATTTCACAAGGTACATAAAAACGTCAAAAAGAAAAAGTACAGTATGTAGATACAAAGTTAAAAAAAATTCAAGGTGGGAAACACTTTAGCAGAACTGAGTGAGCTTTTCTGTAGGTGGTACTTTAGCTACCTCTGGGCAGATTCACGTCTCTATATATCAGGTTGATACCTGGGCCTGAGTGATGGACACACTTCACCAAGCCATTCACTCAACTCACTAAAACTCATACACCCCTGTCCCATTGTTGCTCTTAACAAAGCTGTGGGAAATGTAAGCCTGGATTGTACCTGTTTTCTATTGCCTTGCATTTTCATTAAAAGCCCCGATGCTGCAGCTGGGGCCCCACCGTTCCACAATGTGAGGAAAGACTGCAAGGGCAAACATATGTGACCCACTTCTTCCCATCAAATAAAGTAGGCAGCTTTTAGCAACAGGTTTGAATCTAAATTGATGTTTAAACCCAGACAGGTTTGCCCATGTGGCTCTCTTCCATCTAAGCTTTGTGTGTGTGGGGAGATGGTTAAGAATCTGTCATTAATGTTCCTGCCTCTATTGAAGCACACGCTGTTTTATAGTCTATTCTTAATTATGCTGTCAGTGAGTCCCTTTCAATTTCAGGTCAACATTGAAGATGAAAATTAATTTTAAGCCTGTCATTATTTCATTCTAAACAGGTAAAGGAAAAAGGGCCTGATTCTGTCCCGAATACATTTAAGAAATTTCTGCTTTTAGTGTCACCATTTTGTCACTGAAATGACAGTTTAATTTGACTAAATAAAATCACGGGAGGTAAGAAAGTACTGCAAGTTGGTTTTTTACCCAAAAATAAATACAGCATGGTAGAGTCCACAGTCTGTGCAAAGACTACTGACAAAAACATTCCTGGCTGGATTTCTAAATCTTCAAAGAAAGAAAAAATGCTGATAATCTAAAACAAAATCTGACATTTGAGGTTATAAGATGCAAATTGCAACACTGCTTTGCTTACATTGTACATTACATCTAATCCAGAAGATACTACCCTCTAGTGGCAAGTGTGCTCTTTCTCCAACTCCGGCATGTCTATTATGAATATAAACAAAAGAAGGAAAGTCGGAAAAGTGCAGAGACGATATTTTTTGAACTGTTCTGAATAAAAATCCATCATAAATAACTAGAGGACAAATTGTATTCTGCTACTGGTGTTCTTTCATGTTTTTTTAATGAAAGAAGGGGAAAGAAGATAGTGTCCTTCTTTCTTCTTTGTGCTTTTGTAAAACCTGTAAAATTCCACAGTATTTTATAGACTACATTACATACAAAGCATTTCATCATACAGCTCCAAATCAATAGGCAGTCAGTCAAGCCACATGTTAGGAGCAGAGGTTAAAGCATCATAAACCAGTCCATTTCAAATATCATAAATCAAAGTGCTTTCAACGAAACTTAATCCTGACAAATGAAATAAGACTTCCATGCTGCCTGGCTTTAATAGCGAGATACATTTCAGCCGACTGCTGCAGGTAGGGGTTAAACACTGACAGGGTATCTTCCCCCCCCCCAAAGCTGCCAAATCACTTTGGAATGACCTATTGTCTGAAAGATAGGTGCCTCTGAATTTCTCAGTATTGTAAGGTTAAAGGGCAAGCCTTAAATGGTGGAATCAGTGTATCGACACAATAAGGCTTGACAGTTTATTAGATGGCCTTGTGACACATTTGCTCCCAGTGCCCACAGTTTGCCTTATCTTTTTTTAAAATCCCAGGGGACTAATATGGGAGGCACCTAACTGCTCCTATGGATCCAGCCTAAAAATTGATCTTTTCCACCAATATGTTGAAATAAAAGCATCTGCAGAATGTGTTGTAACACCTTAGATCATATCTATTATGATAGATAAGCTAAGATCTTCTCTGTTTGTGTCTCACCTTCTTCTCCATGGTGTTATGGTCCAGAAAGGTAACAAGATCCACAGAGACATAACCTACGATACGCCGCTGCAGGCAGGCCCGGCCCACACGGGTGCAGATGGAGTGCAAAGTTTCTGGGTGTACAGAGCTCTGAGGAACAATGGAGCCTATAGCTTCAAGTTTGCAACCACCATGGAGTTGGTCTCCACAAGAGAACATGGTCACTTCACCCCCTGGCTCCAGCAGCAGATCTACTGTCAGACAGGTGACACTGTTTGAAGGGGGGTAGGCCTCCACCACACCTCCTGGGAACATAGCAGAGCAGATAAATGGCTCTAGTACCCTCAACAAAACACAGCCTAACAGTAATACAGGACCTGAACTCTCCCAGCTGTTTAGCAATCACAGAAAGTTACATGAAAATTATTGCATTTCACAAAGGCAACACCTGTGAAGCAGGAACGACATAGGAAATCCATATTACATGCTGCTATATTTGCAAGTGAAAAGCATTCGGTGCCTGACAATAGATATCTAACCTTGCCTGAGGAAGGTCTTCAGGAAGCAGGCCCAGTTGGGATAGCAGGAGGTTTTAGCAGGCTGGGCATAATGGGTCAGCCATTCTGGGATCTCATCTAAATATCTGAGCAGCACAGTCTCCTACAGAAAGAAAGTGCATACATTAAACATCTACTGAATATTATGCAAATTTTAGGAGTTTTTGTATCAATTCAATGCAAAAAAATAAGTTTCAGTTACTTCATTATTATTAAAGCTTTGTATGTGTTGACCATATTATTGGAAGCACATTGTGTTATCCGGATGACTCCAGTGACTGCTTGTTGTCCCCCAGACCTTGGGTGGCTGCTTCAATTTCTGTGCAAGTGTCTGATGGATATTGCGGGAGGGTCCATCTGTGAGTGACAGCCTATTATCAGAAGGCCTCAGGAGTCTAATGGCTTTAACTCACAGCCTCCAAGCAGCTGCCCTCAATAACAACTCTCTCCGCTGGGCAGTTGATGAATACGTAAGCTAACCCCATCTATCTGGGGATCAATCAGGGCTTGACTGAGATCGATATCACTCTTGTTTCTGTAACTAGGAAATGCCATAATGGTTACACCACTTAATTATGCTGTTAATTTCTAACTTTTGTTTTAGGTTTCCCTGAAACAGTTTGACAACAACAAGTACAACTCTCTTCTTATAAGGCTATGATGGCTATATTTAAACTAACAATGCCCCGACTAAACCCTCTGTAGCCATTTATACAATACACAGTATGACAACAACAACAATGCTGTACGTGTGGCGCCAACAGAGAAGAATTTAATTTTTTTTCATACACAATAAAACATGAAAAATCTTTTTAAGAGATGACTAAATTATAAGTAGAAATAATATCTTTCTTCTGTCCTCATACTATCAAGATCATTACTTTGTTTTGAGTGCACGCTGTTGGGCTTCACTGGAGACAGGACCAGAGATTATACTGTTGATATTCCAGTCATGTAACAGCCATCATCATATTCAAGTACTGTAAGAGGCGAGGTCAAATGCTACACAGTGATTCCCCCTATACAAACCATAAAGCACACAATGGTGCGGCAAAAAGTGTAAGGGAACGGTTGTCATTCTCAACGGAAGAGCAAACTCACCCCGGGACTTTGCCTATGCAGTTCACAGAAACAGCAGGACAGTAAGAAAAGAAAGAGAGGTATTTTGCAATAAATTATTTGGACTTAAACTGCGTATAGTACCCCGTGATAGGATTCAGCCTTTGCTTGGTGTCCACATAAAGCCAAGCAATCTGGTCATAAATAAAATAGATGTTGCCCTGGCTCTTTGATTGCCATTTCATCTCTCCACTACATAGCACAACAACTGAGATACTACAGTGAACAGGTCTCGGGAACAGGAAGATATAATCAGGCTACTCATATATTTCGCATGAATATTTGCTTTACTTCAACCTCATCCTTGAATTTTTTGTACAAGCTGAGGCAAAATTTCTTTGCATAAACATTGCAAATAAATACTTATGATTGTCTTTGCAATGAAAAAAACAAAACTATATATATATATATATATATATATACATATATAGACTAAAGGAAAGATTTTAAATTCCTAAATTCAGGTTAATTATATTAAGGCAAAACATTACATATTTAAACTCGTCCATGCAAGCACAGACTGCACAATATTTAGACATAGAACATCTGTATTAAATGTCCCTCTACCTCTTCAGTGGTAGTGATTATCAAATGACCCATTTCGCTGACAAACTTAACCTAAATAAGGTGTTGCTCAAGATCTGTTTGTACACAGCATGACAAAAAGAAATACTCCATCTGTTGACGCTATTAGGTGTAATTTTTACCCTCTTGTGCCTAATGATCCATATGCAAGCTGTGTGAGCGCTTAAGTGTGTGTATGGCCCCCTTCGGGCATTGCAAGGCTGCAGATCTACATGTCTTTAACCTCTCTCTGTGTAAATGCTAAAAGAGGCCTGGGGGC